GAGCGCAGATAATCTCTTCATGGTTTGTTGATGGCCATTTGCAGCGTTTGAAGATGAGCTGTCATGAGAGCGGGAATCTTGATCTGATGCGCGCTTCAACAAGCGGAAGATTCCGTCATGTCTTGGGCTCTATCGGTACTCGCCGAGTCCCGAAAGACGAGTGCCCTCCTCCCTTCCTCACGATTCGAGGCAGCATCGTATCGATCCGTTGCCGTCTGACCTCCTGGGTACGCCCCGACAGCCCGACAAAGCGGCGGACTTCTTCGGAGCTCCATTAGGCGCTCGCAGAGCGCGGAAGATTCTCTTTCGTAGAACAGGGATACTCGGTCGAACCGGAACTGTTTCCGGAATGTACCCGAAGAGAATCACTTCAGGTTCCTCCCTGATGAGAAATGAATGCGACGGATTGGAGGCGATTGTCCGCAGCTCGCACGAGATACATGGGTGATTCTTTCGGCTTCTCTCGCCGTTCTTAGCTGAATTTCCATCCAACTTCATTCTAGTTCACTGCCATCAGCGGTGAATAAGCCGCACAGGAACTCGCGCCCGAGGCGTTGCTCTGCGAATGGCGCGGCTTAACAGACGCTGTTTGGCCGGTAACAGTTTTTAAGAAGTTCGTCCAAATAGAGCGGACCAAATTTCCAAGCGGATAAATTTGAACAACGAGACGGGCGTTTCTCTAATCGAAGAGGCAGAACAAGCACCTCACCGAGCAATCGACAAAAGGTGTTGCAGCTCCTTTTGTTGAAACATCGCGATGACAAGCTCAGAAAAGCCGCCCCGACTCGAGAGCCCTTTCGAGGCCGATGAATGGTACCGAGCCATGATAGAAATTTTGGCAAACAAGAATCGCACGGTCGGTCACTGTTCATTTTTAGAGTTCAGGGCGGTACTCGGCACGTGCATTTTCCGAGGCAGCGCTTCCCCTCAAGCAGACTCGGATGAGTTGAAGGACTGCGGACCGTCTACCTCCACTTTTCGCCTCTTCTGTCTTCCAGTTCGGCTTCCGAGAGGTCGCAGAGTTTCCGCATATATGGGCCACATGGATATCCAAGATGCGATTCGCCAAGCATACCTGCAATGCAGGCAGTCATTTCTATCAGTCGGAGATCGTTGGAGCCCAAGAGTCTCTTTTCCTCTTGGGTAATGCGGGAGATGTTCGTCCGCACTCCAGCGACTTCTTTCCCTTAACGAGTCGTCTCCTTCTGACGGGCGTCGCATCTTCTTGAATCGTCGGTCGGTCGGTCCCAATAGACTCCATTGCAAAGAGTTGAGAGGTTCCAGTACAGTTTTGCGAGATGGGAGGTTCACCTTCCGGCTGAGCACGGCTTCCATTGAGGGCGGGGAATTAGATTGGTCAGAACCTCGAATTCGTGATAGATCGAGGCTCAATGGATGGGAATGGATAGCCTCTCCGCCTGATATCGGACGGCGGATGCTCCTGATCGAAAAACCTTGCTCGAGTTTTCACTCGATTTTTTCCAGCGCCGCAAACACATCGGAACCGGGGACTCAGAGAGATTCGGCTCAGAGAACGGCTTTCTCCAATCGAGCCGTGCTCGGAATCGACTTCCAGTATATAGTCGCGGAGACCGGAGAATCCGAGTTGGAGGATTCACTTCGGAAAACATGGATCTTGTGATTAGTTCTTACCTTTCTGGCTGCGGGCTTTTTTGGTCTATTGTTAATCATATTGGAAGAGAGCCGGGGGCGAGGAGTGTTGCTGACATTTCCTGGGGATGACACGCTAATATCACTCCTGGCTGAACCCAACTCAGAACCCACCGAATGCCGCCACCGCGGACGGAACGCCTGGACGCACAAAGAGCCTCTGGCAAGATAGTTGTGTTCGCTGATTCAGAGAGCCAAACACACGCCCACATACACATGCATGTACAAAGGGCTAATTAACTGCTTCTGTTAAGAATGAGGTGCACTTTGTGATGAGCGCTAGGCTCTACGTGTTCCCTCGAGATCCAGGACGCTCCTCTCGTTCGTCGGATGGATCATTCACAGATTGATACATCAGCATTGTCGGTCACGACTTTTTCTTCGAACCAAAGGATCGTCTCTTCATCACGGAGCGACGGTCGATCGACTTAAGCGCCCCCCACAATTCACAAACACTTGCATGCAAACGCCTGTATGTCTGTCCAACTTTAAAATACTCAATGTCTGTTCCAAGAATGCTCTCTGCGAGGAACACCATCCGCAAATCCACGTCAGATCCAGAGATTCCTGCGAGGCCTCCCGCTCTAGTTCCTATGAACACACGTACGAGCCTTTTTTGAAGAAGGAACAATCCCTCAGATTCGAGAGGTCAGACCGAGACTAGATTGGAGGGGTTGGCTCTTCACAGTGAAGAATGTAGGGAGCTTGGATTATTTCGCCAGAACTTTAGTTTTTCCGACCGCGTCCTTGCTTCTTTCGGGCCTCAGTATGAAACTGTCGACCCTTTATTCCACGGAAGTTTACAGTCACCGCGGCCCGCTCCGACGACTGGCAGAAGTAGGTACCCACATATGTACGAATCGAAAACAATCTTTGTTCCCCTCTATCAGCGATTTTCTATTCCCGAAGCGGGTCCGCCTGGGTCGCGGGATCGATGGGCTTCAAGGTTCAACCTAATGCCGCTATAAATATCGTCTCACGGACATTGCCTCTCTCGAACCGGATCGCGGCTCGCGAATTATGCTCTTATTGCGAGTTGCGACGCATCTCCGGCGTCTCCTTGGAGCGGAGGCTTCATCGAGATCCAATTCCGAAATCAAATATCCATCATTGATCGCATACTGATCATATGGCTCGACGCACGTTGGAAAAGCGGGTGTCTGGTAGGGACGCGACGATCTTATCTGAGGAGCTCGAGCCAAGGACAGGCTCCGAGCGACAGGGAGCTCAGCGAGAGGCTGCTGGTCACTTTCATTTCTGACGATAGCTGGGAATGCGTACATACATATGTAATGGGGATGTAAACACTTTGATACCATGATACTCATATTGCAAGCTAATTCCTGGCAGGTTATCAGGCCATAACGTCCTTCGAGTAGCGAATCGAGAGTCGCTCTTTGAGGGAGCCCCAACAAAGCTTGAGAACATTCAACACGGGAAGATGATTCATCAAAGAGCTTCCTGTATTTTTGTGGTCGACTCCGGCCAACTGGTAGTCGATCCCTTCCACGAGCCCCGAGAGGTGCCACTGAGCGAGATTGGAGCGAAGAGAGTCCATCAAGTGTTTATGTAGATCTCAATGACCCTCGAAAAACTTGAGCTCCTCGCAGTAGCGGTCGAGCGGTGGGATAGATCAGTCTCCGAGAGTCAAGAAGAGACTCTGAGAGTCACACTTCAGTTGCGCGTGCCGCGGGATTTCGCTGGGGAAGCGAACGGGGCAAAGGTAACGATTCACACGGAAGGATTGACCCTTGCATAGTCCAACTTGTTTATTTTCCTTGCGACGAGAAAACCGCACGGCGGGACGAATGCTCGAGGTGAACCTGGCGCAAGCGATCATTCTAGGGAGCTTTTCGTCTCTTCCCTCTGATCTGCTGACAGCCTAGCTCCCTTCAGGACAGAGCTCTGTAGCAGAATTTGTTCACGATCAGATATCTCCCGTATTCCCCATTTCGATCTCCGCCTTCCGGGACGGGGCTCCGTCTTTAAGAATCGTAGCCTGCCTGCTTCGCTCCTCCGTGGCCTCAGCACTTGATAATCGAGCTCAAGAGGAGAACAGCTCGGCGGAATCCGTCTCGGCGATCACATCTGCAGTGTTTTCCGAAATGTAGCGCGGTCACGGAAAGTGACGCTGAGGTAGGAAGCATCTCGGCGAGGGCTAAGCATGTCTTCCTGTAGCGGACACAGGGGCTGGGGCGGACATTTTCGATGGCATCACTAATGCAGGCTACAGTGGGGAGAAGGCTGGGGATCCCGGATTCTACGGGGTCTGTCAATCAACAGGCTCGGGCACCTTGCTCGATTCGGAGAACCATAGATGTGATCCGAACCAGGACCGGGGTCGCGAATCATGATATTCTTGCTCTTGATACTCCCTCGTATTCAAGCTTTTCTTCTCTTCGAGCCAGCGGACCGACCGCCTTCGACACCCTGGGAAAGGATGAATGAGCGGTCCCAAATCCGCTTGAGGCTGTCGAGAAGTCTCTTGCAGCTCTCGAGACTCTCCATGCAGAGAAATATTAACTTGGTATGAGAAGAACGAGACTCGTCCGGATTTCGATTGCTCCCCTAGAGCGTGGTCAAGCTCACTCGGCCACCAGTAAGGCGGACAAGAAGCGCAGCTTGTTATGCCGTCTTCTTCCTCCGTCTCCGATGGCGTGCGTGCTCGCACTGCACTCTCTGATCCGCGTCTGCATCCGAGCTCGGGGTTCGGCGTTCGGGGTTCAGCCCAGCCTCGCTTGAACCGAACCTTTGTTGGGCTTGCTCCGCAATCATTTCCGCAGTAGCCCTCGAGAGGGCGCCAGCGTTCGAGTCCGTGCTCTATTTTGCATTTAGCAGTAGATCTTTGCTCACCCTCTAGAGGGAGCGCACAATTTAAGAAAATCCGGTACCGCGTCCTTTAGTCGCGGTGTACGCAGCCATTACTCCTTTCGGCTATAGAAGTGTTCGGCTGTGATGTGATGGTGATGCTGCCTCCACGGACGTTTTGTTTAACGTGTGCTTATGTGCTCAGCCCAGCTGAGAATTCTCGCTGCTTGCCCATCCTCAACGCTGAGTTTTGTGGAAATCACTGCAGGCCTTGTGTGACTGCGATATTCAGTGAGGAATCGCGGGGAACTACAGGCGGGATTTGTGTTGCCTAGTAGATCACAGGCCTCCGTCCTCTAGAGAGAGAAATAGAGAGCTGCGGGACTAGATCTCCATCCTCGACTAGGGAGATCCTTCATATCCTTTCGTCTTTCTCGTTGCTCTCTGCACGGCTCGCGTCAAGCCCCTCCGAGCCACCGGGGTGGTCTATGGTAACCGATATCGAATGTTGAGCAAGTAGGATGCCCGTGCCAAAGATGAACGCGCTTTTCCAACGAGGGAAGGACGTGAGAAATTCTTCAATGTAGGCACGGCCTTGTGATCCCGAAAGCTGGATGCCTCGTTCGATCGTAATGAGCTCGTATGGTGTCTCTGCCTCCGGGAGGAAGGGACAAGCAGTACATTTCTGGAGCCGCTGAGCGGTACCCCTGTACACGGTCGATCCGTCTCGAAATTTTCATGGGTCGAGAGTAAGGAACAGGGGCGACCGGTATCACCCAAGCCGGAGCGGAGCCGCCCCGGCTGCCGCTATCGAGTCATTGGCGCTGGTTCACCGCACTTCGTTCGAAACTATCGAACCAGAGAAGTTCTTCCGACGAAAGGGGGGGGGGGAAAGGTCCTCGAGAGCAGTACTCTTGAGCTTTCGGGATATTCGTTTTCATATGAGTCAGGTAGCTTGTGACATTTCGTCCTTCCCATTGCAGGTACGATCGCATCAGAATCCCAGGCCCGTGATACTCAAGGAGCTGCTCTTCTGTCTTGCCCTCTCTCCTCAGGAATTCTTGCATGTGCATGACTCCGAATCTGCTGCACGCATTCCCGTAGCGTCGAGGATCATATTGTAATCTTTGTTCACGTCTTCCAGCAGTCGACCAAGAAGTCCTGCGGAACTTGGGCATCCTGCAGCCGCTTCAAAACTATGCCTTTACGCCAGCGGAGATCGCACTGTGGAATGTGGCAACCCAAGAAACCAACAATAATTTCACCAACGATGGGAACTGCGGTCGAATAGGCAAACCGGGGCGCAAAGCGGTCAGGGATCCCAACAAACCGTTCCAGTGTAACGTGTGCGAGTACTCTTCCAAATCAAAATCCAACTTCACCATACACATGAGGATCCATACAGGCGAGAAACCTTTCGCCTGCAGCGAATGCGACTACAGAACATCCCAGAAAGGGAATCTCCGAATCCACAAGGAGCGCCGACATGGGATCACGAGAGACCTTCGACTGAGCCTTCCGGCGACTCTCTCGGATTCCGATTTGAAAATGCAACCATGAGAAGAATGTGTTTGGACCGTCTGTCTAAAGAGCTTGTATGTAAACGTTGACTCGAGTTTATATAGCCTCTGCGAGCATCAAGGACTCATGAATAAATTGTAAATTTTGTTAAGGCAATACACTAGGTACTTTTCTGACTGGAACGATTGTGTGAGCACCACATGAGCCTCGGAGTAGGCTGTTTCGCTCGTGCACATGCGACGCTCTCCCTGAAATAAAACTCGTCTTAACGCTGGAAGAATAATCGATTCCTCGCCTCTCGTTCCCGAGAGCATTGTCTGCACAGCGTACTCGATCCTTCGGAGCATTCCTGTCGTGTACAGGATTATCGAGCTGTCTACTCCAATTCTCTCAATCCCAAGCGGAATGAGATGTTTTCCACTGGAATGAGCGAATACGAAGTGCCGACATGGATGCTACCCGATTTGATGTTTGACATGCACACCTGAGACGCGGGCTCAGGCTCACGAGAGCGTAGCTCAATTGATAGAGCTGTGATTATATTTGCAAAATGTATATTCCTTTCGAAGAAACACAATTCTGTCAGCATCCAAGCCTTTCTTTCCTGATCCGGGATGCTTTCTGGGGCGCTCTGATAGCTCCCAGATTCCTCCAACCATCGCGATGGAGGAGAGCTGCGCGCTTACAGGTTCCCTTCGGCGTGCATCTCCGCTTTAGTGGGACATGTACTTGTGTCCTCGGTAGGACTCCCCGGACGATGGAAACGTTCGCTATGGATGAGACCAGCGTCTCTCATCAGGAAAGAGCGAAAGGTCACTGGCCCGCTCCGAACGAGTCACCTGGAATCCGAATAAGCGGCAAGGAGGACTCCATTAAATTCCGGGTCTCCACCCGAAGAGCTTCTACTTGTGTCTCGTGATTGCGAAGAGCAACATCAACATGAGGCGTTTTCTGGTAAGACCCGTCCTCTTCCTGCGTCTCAATCGATACGATTTTCTTCGCGGCATTCATGCAGAGTGTCGATAGGTACTGTTCCTCGTGGTGTGTGCCCGAGCCGCTCCCTTGGAGGATGGGGCGGCCTCTTCCTCGACCACGGCTTCGGTCGACTTGAAGAAACCAACAGCAGATCCTAAGATTGGACACAGCGGATCGGCGAACATGGGGGCGACTACTCCATCGCAAGACCTACCGCCTGATGCCAACGGGAACAACGCAGTGGGAAGCTACGCTATCAACGAACACGCTGGAAAAGGGTTCCTGCTTCCAGGCGAGTGATATTGAAAACTCTCGTGAGCTCTCGAAATTCTACAAAATCTCCGGTGGAGGACTCCGGACCGGGTTTAGATTCCCTGTGTAGACATCCTTGCACCGATCCCAGTTACCTCTCAACTTGATCATTCACAGCTTACGGTGTAGCGAGCGCCTTCGGGGGATACCGGGGATTAAACGGCAACCATGGATTGTACTCAAATCTTCCGCGCCTCGGAAACTTCGGGCAGTACGGGAATCTTCTCAGAGGCTATGGGGCTTTCGATCTCGGAGGGGGCGGACTGCCTGTCAACATCGGCATCCCAGGTCCTCACTTCGGTTAGACATGTATATATTCGGATCATATTGAATACAAAGGTTTTCTGGAAGCATCGTCATTTGTTGTCACTCCGTTCCATCAGAAGAACACAATTCAAGAAATCGTTCTTCCATCAAATCGTGTTCACAATGTCCTACGAGCCGCCTTCCCAAAGATTTGGTATGTACATACAATCCGAAAGCACGAATCTTTCCGGTTGAATTCTTCCGCTACCGAGACCGAGCTCCGAAAAATTTTCTCGGTATAGATGCGGTGGGAGACACGTGAATAGAACAGTGGAATGGGAAATTCGAATATATTATGATCCGCTGAAGCCCGGCGCGCGATTCCAGGAGTTCCTAGACTCGCATGATGATTTGGGCCCGGACGGAACTCGATACTGGTTAGGTGTGTAGTGGGCAGGAGCGGATCCAGCTTTTTTTCTTGGGGGGGGCCAAGTCATATTTTCAGGGGGGAAAGAGCCGAAAATGATGACGCGCCACCTCGCGGCCCATGCTTTTGTATAGGGATCGAAGATTCTTGGGGGGGGGCCATGGCCCCCTGGCCCCCCCCCTCGGATCCGCCACTGGTAGTGGGTACTTCCGTTGGGGAAACTTCGCTGCGGGCGGCTTGAGATCGAATCACCAAGTCCACCCGAAGGACCGTGCAGGCGGTCGCAAGGCAGCGAAATCACCCTGGACTTTCCGGTACAAGATGCGAGCTGAAATCTCGTTCGCTGTTGCCCTCCATAGGCTGGCTCACGAGGACTTATACTTGCGGAGGTAAGATGCGGGTACGTAGCCTTGTTGACCGTAGCGATCCTCAACGAACCACCATTCGCTGTTGTTCTCTAAATCGCAAGTGTAGATCACCAACACCACTTGACCCTGCGTCAGAGGGAGTTGTCCTGGACCGACGCCGTCCAATTTGTACAGCGCGTAGTAGTACTGGAAGGTACAGAAAGCGAATGATTCCTACGACTGCTCAGGAAGCTCCGTGGCTACTTCCCTCCGGATGGACACCCTTAGCACCGTCGAATCCTTACTCCAAGCGCGTCAATGAGTATCTGAAGTTCTCGGGTCTGTCCGAGCAGAAATAATGTCGGCGCTCCTCAATGATATACATATACAATATATTATTTATGTAAACGTTGTCTCCGCGCAATGGAGGAGCCTCACAGTCGGACCATCCGCGCAGCCGACCACGGACTGTCCGCTCATATGTACGGCCGCGGTCCGTCCGATCGATCGGTCAATTCGCTAATCCAGAACGAAGGACCTCGGCCCCGGACTTCGAGGTAATGTGGTCGCTTTCGGCGGGTGGGATTTGAGAGTGCATCTCCCACAGGCTTCGAACTAACCCTTTTCGATGATACATATTCTATTTTTGATGCAATGGATTCAGGACGAACATGAAAGTTTTCATATTTACCTCCTCGATTTTCTGCCGCTTATCGCTGGAGTTTCTCGACTCCGGCGGTCGTTGATGCTGCTGTTGGTGCTGATGGTGTTCCTGTTGCCCCTCGATATCACAGAGTTCTTGCAGGGCATCGATATTGGAATATGAGTTTTCTTCTACGGGTGCAGCCGGGAGAGGTTTATTGATGGGTTTCTGAGCTGTCTGATGGTGTATTTTGAAGCCACCCGACAGATCAACTTCGTCGCGGAGGCTCGCGACGGGACCCGTCGTCAGCTTCGGCTGTTTCCTGTTGCTTCGATTTGGCAAATTGCTGATCACTGGATTCACTACCCTCGTCGATGCGAGCGAAGAATGATACTGGAGAGAGCGAATAAAACGCTTAAGATCTGTGTCCATCACCTCACAGCCGGTAGCAAGGTATTATCGAATAATGTATTAGCTTGCTCACCTTCGGGCCCTCATCGGTACTCGACGAGAGGTTCCGGGCTTTGTCTACTCGACATGTCGGACCATTATTGTCCGCGGACGTCTGCGGTGAGTTATCCATAAGATCCGCATTCACGTTTCCGTAAAGCGAAACGGTGGGCACCGCTGTCATTTGAGTGCCTGTGCCAATCAGGGGCGCTTGTTGAGAGTTTGCGACTTGTGCATTTGATAGCGATGTTGGACGAATGGATCCTTTGGTCGATCTTGCGAAGCCCGCACTTGGCTCCCCCATGAAGTTTTGCGTGTTCTTGTTGTCTCTGAGTAGATGTTTACTGGCCAGCAAGCCTTTGCACCGTCCGTTGTCTACATACCATCGCATCGGGTTCCCGGACGGGTCGGCTTGCCTCACTACACCGACCACGTCTCCTGAGGATGAAGAATGTTCAGTACTGGGCTCGGTAGAGACATCTGCTACGGCGGAATCCTCCATCGAAAAAAAATACGAACCCTTGGTCAGTGAGATCTCATTAGGATCGCTGCTCTGGATCGTCAACGCCACGACGAAGCAATTACTCTCGCCGTATTCTTGCTTCAGCCAGCGTCTCTGGGCATCGGTTTGAGGGACTAGATCGAGCGCTGTTCCATGCTTGTCGTTGAAAGACTTCCTCAAGAAATTCCCGCCCTTCGTCAAAGATTCAATTTTGAAGAGACCCCCCGATATATTAGCCTGCGTCATAGAGAATTGCGCGAAAGTCTGCAAGGCAGCTCTATGTTTCTGTTCGAAAGCGTCCAACACGTTGATCGATGCATCCTTAAGAGCCGGTAGCTCCGAGAGTTGTAGAAGTTGTTTCGTAATGCGAGCCACGAGAAGCTTCTTGGCTCGGAGGAACGTATCGACGCAGCTGCGCAGCAGGTCCGTGCTCAAAGAACACAACTTGGGAAGCTCGTCTAACAGCTGACTGTTCAAAGCGTTATACATGTTGCGCGCAGCTTGCTCTTCCTCCTCAAAGGATTTCTGCCTGGTCGCGTCGCGGTTCTTCTCCATTCGTGCAGTGCACGCAGCGAGATCCAGAAGTTTGTGCTCTCTTTTCGCGATAATTTTTTGTGGAGCGACGAGCATTTCAAGAACACACTGGAGTGTATCGACAACTTGTTTCTCGGTGGTACGCGTGAATTCCATCCAATGTTCCGAGTAGAGCGAATGCTGCGCCATCCGGAACTGATCCACCTCGATGAGACTACATTTTTCCGCATAGAAATCACAGATATCCTCTGAGAGCTGTAGTCCGACCTTCAGACACTCTTGCAGTTGGTCGCAGAAGGTTCTCATGCTCTTCAAGAAGTTTTTGATGCTCTTCTCCAGTAAATCGAATCGATGTTCTTCTCGCTCGAAATCTTCGTCTCGGACGACCGTTGTGAAACCGAGAGAGCTGGACATTCTGACCGTCAGCCGCGTGGACTTCTTTCTCACCGAATGTAGATTGAGTTTGGACAGCTTCTGACTGAAGCTTGCTTCAGGATTTGTGCGGTATTTCGAGACCAGATCTTTGCGACGCTTAACCTCATTGATATCTGTGGCCACCTGAGAAAGCCAAAAAAGAACGAAATGATAGTTCTGAATTCGAAATTCTCGGCGTAGCGGGGAGCCGATCTCTCGGAGTGCCTTACCTTCGCCATCTCATCCATTGCTCGAAGAAGGTGTTGTTTGTCGAGGTGGGAATCTTCTGTAGCTTTTTCGAGCTCATTGATCAGGAGCGGATATTTCAAGATCCTTTGCACTGGTTTTATCAGAACCGAGGCCAAGTCGAAACAGTTGCTATTACGCTGCATCATGTTCACTCCTGGAAGATAGCCGACCCAATCAATTTCCCCCTCTCAATGATTAATCCCGTTGCCGCATACGATCACGAAAGACAGGGCTGCGCTCCCCCGTACAGACCGTTCTGAAAGAAGCGATTAGTGGCTGGTTCGCGCTCGTATTTCGCCAGGAGTCCCGATACATCATCGTGGTTGCGACAGTAATGAGAATAAATGTCCTGCAGTCGGGCGACCAAGTCACCGAAACACATTCCGATTCGCTGCTCCTTCTCAGGCCGATTCTGTTCGTTCTCCATTCTCTGGAGGAGCTGAGTCGACACTTCGATAACTTCATCCAGATTTCCGAAGAGCGTAACCGTGTCGATACCTGCAGAGAGGGTTCTAGGTATGTTCTGTTGCATGCATATTACCGTTGCGGAGACAATCATCAAAATGCTCATAATCAGGATGTTAGCCAGTTACCCAATCGACGAGCGGGAGTTGGGTCCTTCAAGAATATATCAAAGCACAACTTCAAGTCGTGGTTGTAGTCTTTCTCTGTCTGAATCATTTCTGTTATGACGCACTGTCGGAGCTCTCTCTGTTTCCGTAAGCGACTGTCTTCTTTCCGATGCTGCTCTTCCAGTTCTCTTGCCGCTGCTTGGTCGGCCGCATCTGCCGGGTTTACGCAGTTCTCGTAACGACCTGCCACCGAAGGCACCGGGGGTGCCGACCTGAAAGCGGATAAGAAAGCTATTGAAAGGCGAGAATTCCGGGAACGATTGGCCGATGCAGCAGAGACTTCCTCGATAAGGATCTACATTGCGCGGGCAGCGTTCCCAATAATCACCTCTGAGGCTCCGCAACCTTGGCAGGCGGGAGCGGAGGAGGACGAACTGGTAGTAATTGCTGCTGGTGGTGCGAGGTATGGTGTTGCTTTTTAGATTTGGACTTCTCGGCGGCGAAGAGACTGGACCGCGAATCTGAGATTCGAGGAATACCGTGATGATTTGGTGAACCAAAATCCCATGAGAAATCTTCTTCATCCGGAGTCGACGCTTGAGATCTGACGTCTCTCTCCTTTTTGTCTTTCCTCTCCTTCGTTGGAGCAGCCACTGTCACAGACTTCGGATCCCCACCTACCAAGAAGATCGAATAAGCATTTTCTCGAACCTTGTATCTGTAAACCTTGGTGATCAGAGTATTCGTTCGGGAGGCAGATATTCTCACCAGAATCTGAGCTGACCACGGACGGCGCTGCCGGAGAGCTAGATGTAGCTAGCCAGGTAATGACCTGTTGTTGACTCAATGCACTCAAAGGCAGCACATTCTCCCCACCAGCGACATCTGCGCCCGAAGCAAACCGCGCCGAAGATTCAGCCTCGACTTCCTGGAAGACGTTGTTCGATGGAACACTCCGTAAACAAGAGAGACTCGCTTTGAAACCTAATGGACTGAGCTCTAGCCAAAATCAGGTCCTGCTTACATACACATATAACATGCGTGCTTGCTCCGCGGGGAATGCGTATTCGGCGTATGAGCTTCAGTTGGAGAAAAAAGAAAAAATCTACAGAACACAGGAGGAGAACGTAGAAGAGGTGAGCGACGTCAGCTTCGAGAACCGAGAGATATCAACCTCAGCATATTCATGGATTCACTCACCTCAACATAACTTATGGGGCAAATTCCTTCGTTTCCTCGCGGATCCCTTGCTCTGTACCAGTCATCGCCAATTTTGTCAAGGAGTATGATGATTTCTCCTTCCTGTAAGAAATGGGAGAATCTCAATATCTGCCAGCGGAGCAAGAAGTGGGCGGAGCATCGAGCAATCCTAGTCGAGTGTTCCGATCCTCACCTTGATGGGGAGATCCCCCGGGACATCACTCTCAAAATCATATGTCGCTCTAGCGATGGTCCCCTCTATCTTCGGCGGATCGTGAGCGACGTCGACGATGATGTCGACATACTCTGTGGGGAAGAGTCCGATTCTTCCTTCGAGCTCTCCTTCCATCCACTCATCGTCGATGTGACGCAGCAGGTGAACTATCTGACCCATATCGAACGAGAGTTCGTTTGGGAATTGCGAGTTAAACTTGTACTTCGTTCTGGCATAGGGCTGGATACCGTCCACGCCCCCGTACCCTTCTGAAGCGAAAACTTCACTCATATTCTGGTACGTCGTATACATTGTCGTCTCTTCCGGACGCACGTCAGCTTCATCCGGAGCCTTTTCAGCCTGTGCGACTTCTTTCTTCAAGCATTCCTCAAAGGACGGAGGATCATTCTGATGCGGGCTGTCAGGTACACACTCTTCCAGGAGCGTCACAAAGCTCTTAGGAAAGCGACCTTGACTGCCGCTGTCGTTCTCGCCTGCGAAGATCGAATCAAACATTGAGTCTGAGCATGCGGCGAGACGGCCGAGAATGTCGTTCCATAAAATGGATCAGGACTTACCCCAATACCAATCACGGTCGAGTGTTCTACGGACAGTGACTATCTCATCTTTCACGAGATTCAACTCGTCGTCAAGCTGAGCAGTCATTGACAGAATCACCCGAGCTCTACGATTGATTTTAGAATCCTCCTCTTTTGGCAGACGGTCTGAATTGATCCGCCACACGTGCGTAACAGGGATAGTTCCCTGATTGCCCTCAGCATCTTCTGCGCTCCACCAATTCTCATCTACTCCTTCGAGTCCAACCAGCAAGTCACCTGAATTTGGCCAAGGTTATCGTTGCAGAATTGAGGGTTCCTCCCCCGATTGCGTGAGGACGGTGGTGTGTTTACCTCGACAGAATGCCAAATCTCCATCCTGTACAGTTGAGAAATCAGCTAAAGCAGCGAAAAGTCGCAAGTTGCTGTCCTTCGGATTCCACGCTTTTGGGAGCGGCTTCTCGCGAACGTAACTCCGAGGGAATTTTCCCTCGCATCCATTGCTCTCCCCACGGAACCAAAGCTTCCCTTCGATCCCGGTAATCTGAACTATATCGCCTGCGAATAGTGACAGCTCCTCTTCCAACTCAGATATGAAGTCTTGGGTCACAATCACCAATGAGCCGACATCCATCTGAGAATTCCAGAGAATGCAATTCGTTAATGATTGACTCAGCAGTGTCATTGGTCGTTCCAGCAATCAAACATTCCAGATGACAGCTGGAGGAGGGAACAGTCCATACTAGTCAAGAGAGGCTCTTCTCACGGGAGATCGGGATCAGTAAGAGAGCAGCGGTCTTTCTCGGCTTCGGGACGATCGAGGCCCTTGTCCCATTACGCACACGGGTAGAATCCGGCATTTCCATAACCTCCAAAAAGCATTCCACTCATATTCGACGACCAGACCCCGATCAATCTTCTCGAAGAGTGCCGATCAGCTCACCTCGTATCCAGACTCGACTGCGAAGCGAAGCTTCTGATGGACTATATGAGCAGGTTGGTTCTACAACCATCTATCATCTTCACGACTTCACGACCCAGCATGAGCATCTGATAATCATCATCATCGAGTTCGCACTCAATTTCCCCCGAACCAGGACACATAAAGTAGGATTCGAGATGGCGGCCAGCCGCTTTTCCCCGCTGTTTTAGCGGAGGCTCGAGGGCTCGTGACACCACGATAACACCAGAAATAGCGTAGGTCTCGAACGATTTGATGGGAGCGTCGGTGATGAGGATGTTCTTCTATTCGCCTACATTTGAAAAGATTCACATGTAACTCGTACTTTTCCGGCGCTTGTTCCGCTCGGTCCCGCCGCTACGTTAGGAACGCCGTACCTACTGGTAGACCGATTTGTACGCTTGTACGCTTCCTACGGCGTACTTTATACGCTCGAACGTGTGCTAGAGATAGCGTTTTTTTACTTATTCATTTTATTTGATTTTACTTATGTTGCGTCCATGGGAAGTGCGTACAAGAAAAATGCGCGGCAAAATGCCACGAAAATGGAATCCCCAGACGGGAGATTGAAGAGGCTGTGGTCTATCTCCTCAAATGCGGTATGGAGCTCAGGTTATTTTTGCACGTCTGTGTTTCGCGTTTCGCGCTCAAACCATCAGCAAATATAACCAGTGGTGCAAGGAGAAGATCTAGAGCTCCATGTCGTACCACATTTGAGAAGAGAGACCAGACACTTCTTCCACTCAATCCCGCACACCAGCCAGCTTCGGATTACTGTGGTACGACATCGGCAAGCAGACGATTTGCGGCAATTTCTTCCACAAGTCTGGCTCCATACCCCATACCTCTATTGCGTGCGTAATGACGAGGTACGTCCGAGTCAATGGCCCGAATTCGAAAAAAATCCTGCGCCTGCCGTTGGAAGCTGATGGGACCCTACTGCTAGTTAGCGTCCGCCTGGCACTTCCGGAATGCCAGTGCTTGGTGTTTGAAGAGACTGAGAATGAAGACACGATTCTGAGATGCGTGGATGGGGTCATTCAGCCGCCAGATAATTATCTTGATCCGGAGAGACTATAGGCTCAGGGGCGTACGCGGGGGGGGATGGTCCAGCCGATAAAAGATCCTGCGAATTCCCGTCTTTCCCTTGATAAAATCTTTGATTCTCGGTGAGAGGCCCACTCAAATAATTTTTTTCATAGTGGGAGGACCCATCACATGATAACGACGACCCCATTATGACCTTCCTGAAGCTCCCGAGAACCCACCCCTGAATTTTTGCGGCGATCGGTCCAGGCGTTTGTGAATTTTGCGAATTTCCGATTTCTCAATTTTTTTCCCAGTTTCCGTATTATTATTATTATATTTTTTTTTTAAGATAGAAGGACTCATCGCATCGGAGAACTGACCCCCCCCCCACCATAACCACCGCTGGATCCCCCAGAACACGCTCCTAAACTTTCACGACGATCGTTTCAGCCGTCTGTCTGTCTTATCGGCTCGACCGATCACCAAATTGAATGAGATCGGTAAACTGAGGTGAGCTTTGCGTCATGATGCGCACAATATAATGCTCCGAGGGACCCCGGTATGGAAGCCATCGAGGCTCGATCCTTCATATCAAATGAAGCGCCGGCCCAACACTCCGACGCCGACGTTGTGCTGGAGGCCGGTTCAAGGCACCCGTGCTCACAGAGCTGAGTGACATACTCTAACCTGGATTGCACTCGGCGACACTTGTTCAGTCCGGAATCGAGGATTGAGCCTTTTTCCCTATTTACGCGTGCGGATACCAGGCCCACAGGGTGCTCGTCGGGTGTAATCCCATGATCCGACCTCCCATCTTCCCGATCTCTCGATTTCGACAGCCTGGCCCCGCCTGAACCGTCCGCAAAGATCATCAGCCTCATCGTCCTCTCTCTCCCACAAACAGATTCCATTTTTGTTTGATTCCATCATTCGTGCTCGCTGTACGGGATTCTTAGACTTGACAGTCGTGTAACGGAGGGTAACCCGTGTCATACCAGAGACCGTACGGAGGTGCGGTGTACATCCGCACGAGGCGTCTATCCGCGACACCGAGAAGCCAAATCGCTCAGGAGCAAAGATGGCGGATGTCTTCCAATGAGAGAGGCTGCTTGATAGAGGAAGGTCCCAGTCAATTCATAGCTTGGAGTATTGCAGAAGATCTCGCCTGGACCAGGGGAGCGACAGAGGTGAGTTCGTTCGACTAGTGTCGATGTATGCTGCGCTCAGAATAGTTGATCCTGGGTCAGAATAGTCGACCCTATCGACTCCGGGTCTACTCACGACAGAGCAGTCCCACTCATAGTGCGGCTAGAACATCCGAGGTCGGACTCAGGCCGTTGGCGCACTTGGAAGAATGCTAGGGTTGCCTCCGATTCTAACAGACATGTCGTTCGACGTGCCGTGGGTGCGTTTTGGTGGCCGACCGAATTCGCTAGCCGCAGCGGAGTGTGGTGCTCTACCAGCTGGATTCATACCGTTTTCCTGGACCCCATCCGCGCTACGCACTCGACTGAAGCCTCTGGTGGCCGCACATCGGTGAGGAGTCGGGAATCTTAGCGGGTGGTGTTACATGCCCGCAAGCTCTAGGATTTTCGGCTCGACTCACTTCCCGGTGGGCGTCGCGTCGTGGGCTGGGAGAAGAACTCGGAGATCGCCAGTTGCGGTCTCGAAAATGAAGGTCGAGGAGCTCAGTCCTCATCAACGATCATCGCTCGGTACTGAATCGTCCAGCTGTGGTGCTTTCCGCTTCGGGAACGGCGAATGATCCGATCCACGCGATGCCAAAGGTCTTGTCCACACTCATCTTTCTCATGTACATTCCCGAGTTGGAGTGAGAACTTAGCTTGACCTCCGCCTCTGAGTTGTCGCCTCGGAGGAGAATTCCAGGCGAAATCGACGCCAGCTAGCTCGGGTCTACGCAGGTCCCGGAATGTTATTTTTTTTCGGAAGTTCGCAGCGTCTCTCCTAGCGTCGGCGCCGCGCCGTAGACTCCCCGAGCACTCAGATGACCGGTAGCCTCCGGGGCTCTCAGATGATATCACGATGCAGGTTGGCGCGGTATCTGATGGAGACCTCCTTTGAAGCTCACCGACGCTTTTTCAGGAAAAATGGCTGTCACCCCAGGCTCATCCCCACGGATAATGATATTCCGACCCACGCTCGAGGAGATGAAGGATTTCTCCTCCTACCTCCAACACATGGAAAGTCAGGGCGCACATAAGGCCGGAATCGCCAAGGTATTTTTCCAGGGTCCAATCGGAAGAGTATAGCTCGAGGGGTGAGGTGGCGTTAGCGTGAGGAGGTATCTGGCTCTGAGACAAAACCATCGTATATGTGATGATATAGTGAACGTGATCTCGGCTCCCTCGTGCTAGCACGATATCCTCGGCCGCCTTCCTCTGTTCTCGCCGCTCCCCTCATGCTCGGCAGCAGAGCATGAGGGGAAAGATCAACTTGAGCGATTGTCTCTAAGATCCGACACCCGCTGCATGCACGGGGCGGGCTAGATTTTCTTCCCTCAATAGACAGAGCATAGCGAAGTTGCAAAAATGTTATTCGCTCTTCCAGATCATACCTCCGCCTGAATGGAGCGCCCGGAGGAGACCGTATGACACGCCCGACATAATGAGTATGCCGATTCCGGCTCCTATCCAGCAGATGGTCTATGGAAATGGTGGACTCTATCAACAATACAATATGCAGAAAAGGATGATGACCGTGGGCGATTTCAAAAAAATGGCTCTATCGCCGAAATATGCCACGCCCGACTACTTCGACTATGACGATCTCGAGAGGAAGTACTGGAAAAATATCTCCTTCAACCCCCCTATTTACGGTGCAGATGTCAGTGGGAGTATCTACGACACCGACGTCGAGGTGAGTTCAGTAGCTACTGTGCAAGCCTCCTGTAGACGTTGTATTCCTTGCCGGCAAGAATCGATTCTCTTCCGCTCGAAAGGCTTCGTTACTTCGCCGCTCCGCCCGACCTGATTTCAATCCTGGTCTTCAGGAATTCAATATATCGCGTCTGAATACGATCCTCGACCTCATCGGAGAAGACTATGGCGTGAAAATTGAAGGAGTCAACACGGCATATCTTTACTTTGGAATGTGGAAATCAACTTTCGCGTGGCATACGGAAGACATGGACCTGTATTCCATCAATTACCTCCACCATGGGGCGCCAAAGAGTTGGTACGCTATACCACCGGAACATGGAAAACGCCTCGAGAGACTGGCTTCGGGTGAGTTTGCCTTACCGGAGAACGCTCAACATGATATCGTATTTTAAGCAAATGGATGACTCCTACTCCTTCTGTTCCCAGGTTTCTTCCCGAAGTTGGTGAAAACCTGCAACGCTTTCCTACGCCATAAAATGACACTCATCTCGCCTGCTCTGCTCAGGAAGTACTCGATACCCTACGACAAGATAACACAAGAGGAAGGGGAATTCATGATAACTTTCCCTTACGGGTATCACGCTGGCTACAATCAAGGCTTCAACATCGCCGAGAGTACGAATTTCGCACTACCCCGCTGGATCGAATATGGGAAGAGATGCACAAGGGTGAGAGGATTCGAGCTTTAGATGTCAATTCATTCATGGCCCTTCGGTGATCGCTCTCGCAGAATTAAATTCAGAATTCGTCTCTCAGTCAGTCATCTTGAGACTCTCAACCTGATCCACAGTGCTGCTGCCGTCAAGACAATGTCCATATCAGTATGGATCGCTTCGTCTTGAAGTTTCAACCGGATCGCTATGAAGCGTGGAAAGAAGGTCGAGATATGGGCTGCCACCCGGAAGATCCCTCGAGAATCTACGCCGCACCTCTACCGACCGCATATCTCACCGTGGATGGCAAATCGAAGCGAGTGCCTTCCGTGGTTCCTCGTAGGATACCTCCACAGACAGATCAGTCCTGCTCATCCCAGGAAGAGCCGAAGAAGCGGACGGCTCCTAGGGAGAAATCTTTGCGGAAACCGAGGAAGACTCGGGGGGAAGCAACAACGGTTTGTGTCACAATCAATCAGATCTTCTCCCGGATTATCTTATATATATATACACGCTGTTACACGGTTCGTAATATCCAGAAGCGTATACTCGATCGAAATTTCAGAGAAAGAGACACCACGATAGTGAGACAGAAATCGCGATCGCTGTGAGACAAACTGTCGACAAGATGGTATTCAGTGTGTCTCAAGCATCAGCGAAAAGGAGAACACGAACTCTGCCCGATTGGTACCACGGGTACGCACCTCTATTCATCACTAAACCTGAGCGGAATCAACTGCCGAAAGAAGACATCCTTCTGGCGAAGAAAAATTACCACAACGAGCTCTGCAGAAGGGAACCGTATTGCGCCGTCTGCGTCCCATTCAGGAACACAGTCCAGCTGCCCGAAGACAGTGTCCTAAGAGCTTCGGAGCAGTTCCGAGACGAGGATCGAGACTTTGACGATGACGATAGTATCCCGGCGAGTAGCGAGGTTGTGGTTCCATCATCGGCTTTCGGCCAGCATGGCTACCGGGACGGCATCAGCCCTCTGGAGTCCATCGAATGTCCGGAAACATCAGAACTTGTGAAATGCGTTCGCTGCTTTTTACGAGTTCACAAATCCTGCTACGGACTAAGCACAGTCAACGACGCGGACGTCGAGACTGCAGGTGGCTCCTGGGTATGCGACTCCTGCAATCACGAAGCTCTCAGTGAGGCTTTCCAGTCACGTCGTCTCACCGAACCTCAATGTTCGCTCTGTTGCCTGAGAGGAGGAGCCCTCAAGAAAACCACTGATGGCAGATGGGCGCACATCATTTGTGCCATACTCATACCAGATGTTTTTGTACAAAGCTTCGAAGAGGGCATCGAGATCAAACAGATAACCAAAGCACGCAAGCGTCTTCAATGTTACATTTGCAAGGATCTGCCGATGAGTCTGACGAGTAAAGGTGTATGCATACAATGCGACTGCGGGCGCAGCATGCACGTCACTTGCTCCATGGCGAGTGGAACACAATTCCAACTCGGTAATTGGCCTGAGCCCGTAATTGCGCGATGTAACGCACACCGTGTCCGAAAGAAGGTGGGTCCGATTTCTATCCGGAGCGATGAGCTGGCTTCAAGATTCGAACCGTGATTGAGATCGTCCCCGGAAGACCTGGGCGATTAGCAGAGAACTCAACACTGTCCCCGTTGTCGTTGTAGAACTCTGGAGACCAACCGGAGCCACCCGTCCCGCAAGCATTCAGTGAGCTGGCGATTGGTTCTGAAGTCTACGCCAAACACCGGAACAAGAGATTCTATCAAGCAGTTATTCAAGAGATCATCCATGAAACGTGTTTTTCAATACAATTCTACGACGGCTCAGTCACACACACGCTGAGCCGTCAATTCGTCAGCATCAAGGAGTAAGTGATATTGGAATCTCCGTAGACCGTTCGACTCGGTTCGAGCATGCAGTTGGCTTCATGAGAGCAATACTCTCGACAGGAACGCCCCTGATTCTTTGGACGAAACATGGATCGCTTGCACGAAGGAGCGCTCGCCCCAGCGTGGAGATGAAGTATCCGTCATTTGGCCAAGTGACGGACGCGAATACAAAGGAACGTATCTCGGTAGTCAAGATGTTCCTTTCTATAAAGTTCTTTTCGAAGACGAGAGCGTTCTCACCCTCAGCAGAGACTGTGTGTATGAGCGGAACGACAACATTCCGAAACGAGTACTCTCCAGAATCGTGAGTTCCACATGAGAATGAGATAGTGTTGAAATATAACCGGCGGCGGGTCACAAGTCCGCGTTTGCACGAACTCTCGAATTGATCTCGATTACTTTCATAGTCGACGGTATCGGAAGCTGCCCACTCAACGGTGGAAGAAGATGCGTCGAACGCGAGAATGTCGGAAGAAAAAACTGATCCCAAACGTAAACGACAGAGGAAACGAACTCGTTACGATGACTTCGGTTTCGTCAACCTCCTGGAAACAATACTATCATGAAGCGGCAGAAGCCTGCTCCCAGATGTGATCGTGGCGCTTTTGACGGGGAATCGTCAGGCGGATCGGTCATCGATAGGGAATAGGGTTGGAAATAGACCCGCTGTAGAATTCATGCTCGCCTGCGTGATTGCTCGAATGTTCACAGAAGCCAGCGTGGATGCGTCCGAGCGAGGGCGTTGAATCAATCGTGTACTTGTTTTTATTTATGCGGCCTGAATGAAAGCAGCATGATTCCCGGGACTGAAGGGTTGTCCGCATCAGCTCCTCAAGCTCACTCAAAAGGCATAAGGACATCCTTGAAAATATGAGAATCTCTCATCGTGTGTACAAAACAAGTCTCTCCCCTCGTCCTCAGAACCGAAATGTTCATTTTTGTTGCTTTCCGAGCCCAAACACTGGTTTGCCTTTCGTAGTCGCTTCTCGCACCAGAGGGTTTAGGAAATCGGCCGCGCTCTTGTCTGTACATTATCAGTCCGACGCATTGTATATAGACTCCATGTGTATAATTACTACCGGAAGCGTTCCAATAAAACTAAGAATCAGTTCTGAATAATTAAACAGACTCCATTCGTTCCTGCGTTTCCTCGCGGTGCGTTTTACGTACATTAATTCACACCGTTCTTAGTAGTGAGTTCGATGTCGAAGTAGTATTCACGCGATCGGCGGAGAGACAGTGGAGCCTCGGCGTCAACGGAACGGCCCTTCCGGCTGGGGCAGGGGGCAGGTCGCACGGCGCGGCGGTGTTCGACACCGGATACCGGCTACTGAAAAAGCGGAACCTTCCTTTACTGAGTTTGGTCGTGATGGGTTATAACGCTCCGTAACGCCCCGTTACGACGCCTGGAAACCCGTCACGGACCGGAAAAAATCGAGAAGTGGGTTTTGATACGACCTCATTGGCTCAAACAGAGGCTCAGACCTCCATTACCGGCGATTCTCCGATTTTTCAGTCGAGCTTCATGATTCCTCTGAGGGCATATTTCGGCGGAATGGTTCAGTCGATTTACGTCTTCCAAATGAGCTCTCTGCAACTCCACAATGCAGAGAGAGCATAGCGAGGGAGTGAATGCTCTGCTTCTGTAAAACTAGCCAGCTAGCCCAGGGTCCGCAGTTCGCTATCCAACCTTTTTGGGCATCTCAGAGGGAGAAGAATGAAGCTGACGAGAAAAAAGGTCCGAAAGCATCAGTCCGTCCGCAAATCATTGACTGAAATCATTTCCTTCTCCACAAATTCAGCCTCCGATGAATCTCGCTATGAGCCTTGAATCGACAGTTTGAAAGACTCCGGAAGTGCCGTGACCCCCTGGGAAATCGCCGTGACCCACTTGCCCGCTCTTGGGAAACACTGTTCTAGAACCTCCGAGGAATTGCTCAGAATTCTGAGAGAAGCCATTCGATTCTCCGCCGTAGGTTCTCGATTCTTCCTGTCAATGAAGAGATTCGCTTGCTTGATCGCCCCCTGCACCGTTATCGTGCGACTCATCGCTCACAAACTTCTACAGAGTTCGGAAGTTATCGGCTGAGTTTCCACATTCTTGATCCGAAAATCCAAGGAGGCCAGAATCGGGGAGGAAGGAATGTCAATATGCGCAAGGATGCTATAAATGTCAGGATATGCGTTTACGCTTCGAAAAGCTCCAGTGACCAAATGAGTCAAGACTCATTTGAGGGAATAGCGTAGGATTACGCTTTACGGTAATTATCGGCTTGTGATAATTGAAGTAGCTTGTGATGGTGAAGCTTCCCAAACTCGGTCAATCTCGGGGGAAGATCAAATCCAAATTTGTTTGGTGTGCATCTCCCTGCTCCCTGCTCTCAGAAACCAAAAAGAAGAAGAAGAAACAATGAAAAATTCCCGAAGATTCTAAGCGTCTGCAATTATGGTATTGGCCAAATAAAATGTTCACCACATTTAGCTACTCTCCAATAGACTTCTCTCAAGAAGCTTCCAGACTGGAACCCCACAGACTGGATGCTCTGAATCTTGAGACCGGTGCTGGCAACCTCCTCGACACTAGAGAACAGAAATTGGCTGATTCCTGCTAGCGTCGTTGGCAATCATTATCCCTTATGCGGCGACGTGCATGAGGGTTTATAATGTCACATTAAGAAAATGGCCAAATAAGCGAACATGCGTGAAACTATGCGTTTCATGGAAACGTCATCCCTAGTGATCACACATTGCAAATATCGTGGACGCCGCGCTCCGGAATAATTGTCCCATATGATCGGGTCCTAACTTGCTATGATATATGCTTAAAAAATGCATTTGCCTTCCAGTCATTCCAGCCATCTGCCTTCAATCATTCCATCGAATCAAAGATCAATTTTCCATGGCTTGAATAAAAGAAAAGTCGGATTCCAAAGTCGTCCGATTTCCCATGGCACGTCTAGCTTCATCACAAAATCAAACTATAGTATGATATCTCTCGAACTACTTCGATAACAATCTCGGATACATGTTTACGCAAGTGACATCTCTCAATCTAGGAGGGGGGGGGGGGCATAATTTTCGACTTTGACCACACACCGCACCGGAACCCTGAATTCGAAGCAAAAAAAACGGCTATTCCTCGGGAAGTTTTCCGTCAAGGGGCACCATCTTGGGGGAATGAATTCGTGAGAACATGGATTTCCGAGGAATGAGGAGGCATTTTCGACGATCGGTTGCCGAAAGGGCTGAGTTTTCGAAGATCCTTCCAGAAGGAGGTTACATTCCTTGCATTCGCCCTGGGCGCTAGCTACGCCACTGCGCACAACATTCATCATTCCGCGGGAAAAAGAGCTCGGGAACCCCGAGACTGCTCAGCTCTCAGCTCAGACTCGTCTTAGGTATAATGGATAAGGCGATGGATGAGTCTCTCGCGCGCGTTTCCCTGAATGGAGAGGAAAATGGCTCAGCGTGTTCGGCTATTCGGAAAGCCCGGGTATCATCATCTTCTGCGTGTACTTCCACTTCCACGGCGGGCATCGTCTGCTCTCCTGTAAACAAATAGATCTCACTTCCCTATTCTACCGTACGGATATTTATACTAAGAGCTGCTATTATTGTCATTCCCCTTTCGAGGTCAATCGGAGTCCCCTTCTCCGCTGTAACTTGCAACAGATACTTGTCACTCGCGGTCAGTGTGTCTGACAGGGGGGCAGCGAAATGTTCTCGCTTCTCCAGTTTTGGAGCTTGTGAGAGATCCGTGGTGTCTTGCACCCATGCGGGATCTTCCGTTGAACCACTGACTGCGTCTGGCAAGACTCGGTGCCATTGTCGAACCCATCGCCCATCTCAGACCGAGTCGTCCTCACCCATACTCTGAAGTATGATTGTTTCGCGGTCGACATGTGTGGTTTGAACTAGGAGGTAGACGCTTCGGGTCCGACATCCGACGTCAAACGAAACTGTGTCCGTACATCGGCTGTATCGCATGAAGACAAGGGGGGAAATCGCCGAAGAAGCTGCGTCCGGATAAGAGAAATGTGGCGCGAATACGGCAAGAGATTTCTTTCTCGATTCCTCTAGGTGTGCTCTTCACGGACAGGGTCGGTTATGCGAAGGCGGTAGGTTCTCTTGAACTTCTCCGATCAAAATCACTCGGCTCAAATATTTATCCCCGTCGTTGTAATTTGGCTTGCCGACCTTCGCTCCCAACATAGGTCCACGGTTGCTCGATGCAGCCTTTGCTGAACCCAGATCCCAAGGAGCAACGAGACTGTGTCTTCGTGAATCGCATGGAGAGTCTCGATTTGAGCAAGGTCGGGGATGTTTCCCATGATGATGAATCATGATGACTTGGAGGACACATGGCGGCTCCCCCAATTTTTTTATTCGAAAGAACATCATGCTCGACTTCGGCTCAACCCTCGTATTCCAGATCAAACGTGGCGACGTCATCGTGTTCATTTCACCAAGAGATCCATCTGAGCTGCTCATAAAGAGAGTTATAGGTCTTCAAGGAGATACGATAAGAACGTTCAAGGTAGATATGCTTCATTCAATGATTCTGTCTGGATCGGCGAGTGTCAACATTCGTCAACATGCTGCTCCGAGCTCCCTCTCCTCCCCCTTCTCCCAGATGAGGGACCCTGTTCCACGATGATGTGCCTGGCCGCGAGTGCGACACTGGCATGTATCTGCAGTTTGGGTTTAAAACGAGATAAGAATTCAGTCAGCGCGGATTGGCTTGTGTCGTATGCCTACCCCTGATCATGCACCCTCGTGTGCAGAAGCTTACTCGGGGGCTGATTCTCAAGGAGCTTTTGGGCGAAAGTTTCGATCCGGTAGTCGTTGCGCCGGCGGACGTTTTAGGGACCCGTGTCGGTGGCTGAATGCTCCTCTGGAGCGTCTTCGCTGCGAAATCAGGAGAGGCGGATCGGATGCTTCCGATGGTCCTTCGTCGGAATCTCTGACTCCTCGCTTCTCTTTTAGGGCAACGAGCTCGTGCACATACCATCTGGTCATATATGGGTCGAAGGAGACAATCATAGAGTTTCCTACGACTCGAACGATTTCGGCCCTATAAGCATCGGTACGCGCGAGCCTCGTTGTCATCGATAAGTCTTCATCGAATGAAATCCATTCGTTTCGACCGCCAGCCAAGGTTTTCTCCTGTGATTCGTAGGACTCACCGTTGCAAAGGCTACTCATATCCTTTGGCCGCCTAGACGTATATCCCCGATAGAGAGCGCGGAAGCTCCGGGAAGGATATCTGCTCCCGGACTCATGAGCTAGCGTTTTCTCGGAGGAGGTTCACGAAGGCTTTCGCAGGCGAGGAAGTCCAGCTGCATCCTCCCGGAGCGCGAACTCCAGAGCCGGCAGTCCTCGACCGAATGCCCTCCGTGAGTTCTAGCACTCTGAGCATCACCTGGCTCTGACACTACATCAGGTGAGTCTGGATATCTAGACTCCGCAAACGTCTGAGCTTGTGTGCTGTAGGAGTCGCTGATTTCCAGCGCTGAGTTCATCAAATTAGAGCCTACCCCGCAGCCTATCCGAAAGTTCCGGGCTAGATCGCTCCTCAGATCATTGCGTGACTCGAGTTTCGGGTCGCGATCGGGAGAAAAGTCCTCGAGGACCTCGATAGATGTAGGTGGTAGCCCAGTCGATATCAAGTCTGCCAGAGGAAGCTCTATTCGAGAAGTTGCCCAAAGTGGCGGCCGCAAATCAGGGCAATCGATGCAGTTTGCCTGAGATCGTCGTCTGTTTGCCTCACCGCAGAAAACCTTCCCGGTTCATAAATCGATGCGGCATCTAGGACCGACGTGTTCTAAATAGCTCATGGTCACTGCGTTTCCAAGATTACAGGGAAATCCGACTTGAGGAGCCGGGAATCGCCAATCTCATGGGCTTGGATTCTCCGAGAACTTTCATTGAACGCTTTTCAAGAGACCGCATCGCGAACGAAATAAGTCGCAACGGAGTTCATCCCGGATTCAATTCGAAGGCAAATGTGCGTCGGGGAGGGAAAATTTACAGTTTGCGTGATGGACTTGATCCGCCAAGCACCGATAGTAGGACTGTGTAGACAGGAGCTCAAGTCACGTCTATGAGCGTAATAAAATATGCCACATAACGGGTATGCAGATCGATTCCTCGTATCCCCATGTTTTTTACGTATCGTCGAGCATCAAGCGAGGGAGAAACGCAAGCTCGTATCCACCTGGAGTCATGAGGTCCCAGGAGCCCTGATTTTCATTTCTGGACTTAAGTCAGAAGGAACTCTCGAAATTCCATCATAGGCCGTGCGGTCTATGCGAAGACGGGTGCAGAAGAAAGGCTTGGTGGTTAGAGCGAGGAGAGCTCGAGGCCTTGATTCACCCGCCTCAATCAGCGTTCCGACCCCGAGACTAAAGTCTAATCTCTTATCGAAAAACGGCAGAGGTACATTGGATGACAATACTGATCATCGTCATTTTCGCTATTGGTGTATAATCCAGGAGCGACCGTAGAAGGGTGGAGATTTTTTCCTCGTAGCAGTGAAGTATGTATGAGCTTTGACAAGGAGCGTCATCGATCCGGATTCTCGGCTCGGGTGTCGGGATTCCCTTAGGGAAGCCCTGCTTAAGACGACGGGTGATTATGGTCGCTCATTCCCAAGGAAGATCGGGGGCGGCAGGTTGAGATCTTTGATTGCGACCACTTTATACCTCTTAGCCGACTGGATTCTCGAGCGTCATCTGGAAGCGCGGACAAGGTTGAGGAATGGGATCGGTGGCTTGAGAATCAGCTGGGAATTCTTTTCAAACAGTTTAGATATCGGGGAACGATCCCCACGGCTTCCAATTCATTGTCCTGACGGAATCAGCCTAATTCAGTGAGTCATCGGGTTTCGTCAATTCCCGATCGCGATGATTCATCGTGCGGCCGGTCGTCGGAAGATCCCGGTCGACGATGTCGTCCCCCGTGTCTTCATGCCGATCAACTCAGTCAGTCTGCTCCATCAATGAGGCACAGCGAGTTCCCGAGTTTCGATTGAGCAGTGTGCTTCCAGGAATCGTTGTGATAAGTGTTGTTGTCCTCTCCTCACGGCGGTCCTTTCCGTGCTGCCTGACTCACGCTCACAGTCGGTTCAGTATATGCTAGCTCTCTCTTCTCTTGTCTTCGCTTGCCCGGCTGGCTGTGGTTCGCCTCGTTCACTCCTCGAAATGGCAGTCACCGATTGGTCGACCGCTCGTGACGTCATATCCGACAGCCAATGGGCTCTCAGCTTCGTGATATCACTCTGCTGACGTCGATTCAATGGTCGCTTGGTTTAAAAGGAGCGCTGATAGCCAACGATGAGTCATAGCCACCGATGGGCGGAAAGTACTAACGTCGCTCTGTGTCCGAATTTGTTTTTGATCTTCTGGTGTACTGCAAATAAGTGCGAGAGTTGGTCTCAAAATCCTCGATATCCGGGCCAGTTCCGTGAGTTTCTCGTCCCGACTGGCCTAGTAATAGTTCTGTGAACGGTCTCGTGCGGCTCGAATAAGCACCGTGATAATTCACTGTGTGGTAGGAGAATTCGATATCCAAGTGCGAAGCTACCAAGGAAAGAGATGGCAGCCGGGAACACCCAGCAGCAAGAGGATATTCGCTGTATGAAACGATCCATGACGCTCGATCTGGAGGCTGGGGGAGCTCGGGCCAAGCGTATGCGAGGCCAATTCAGCAACTCGCCTGTGTTGACATCTCCAGACCTCAGCAGGTTCGCATTGGCTTCCCCCGAAGTTGAGCAGTTCATAAAAGGCAACATTCAAACGACCACGAGCTCTTCAACTCAGCCAACACCCATAAACGTCTACTTATACCCGACCAAAGAAATCACGGACAGTCAAGCACAATTCGCGAAAGGATTCGAGGAAGCTCTGGCAAAGGTGCAAGAAAATGAACAAAGAGCTGCTAAAGCTGAGCCAACCGTGGTGTCGCTGTCTTCTACAGCAACGACGGGCACGGCAGCATCGGTGGCAGTGACGACGGGGGCTACGACGACATCAACAACTGCAGCCGCCTCAACAGCTGCACCAGCGGCGGCGGACAAGCTGACAACGTACACTAACTTGACGGCAGCGAATCTACACAGCCTCAACGTTCAAATGGGAACCGTATCAAACTGTGATCCGAACGGGTCGTCTGACGGAATCGGCTCCGACACGAGCGATTCCATGACTCTCAAAGACGAACAGACCAGCCTTTCCGCGGGATCGTTGGGCAGAATAAACATGGGAGACCAGGAGAAAATGAAGCTGGAGCGGAAACGACTCCGGAACCGCATAGCCGCGTCGAAATGCCGCAAGAAGAAGCTCGAGCGAATCACGCAGCTTGAAGATCAGGTGAATCGGTTGAAAAACGACAATCAAGAATATGAGAAAATGATCAGCCTATTGCGAAACGAAGTTTCTTCCTTGCGGCAAGAGGCATTGATTCACCGCCAGCACGGCTGTTTAATTGACCTCTGAACGAGAGCTGCTCCCTGAGGAGCTGACTTTCTCCATGACAGCAGTGAGGGCGCCTGATGCGAAAAACTGAAAATGCAGGCGGCCGCCCACGAACAAAAAATCTGCTACGCATATTGTGTCCTTCCGAGCCTTACGGGAAGCCTCCTCAGCTTTGCTATCATTCATCACTTCCGAAGTTCCCTCCACCCATACCGAGGAAAAGCCCGCAGCAGAAGCAGCAGCAGGATGTGATCGCACTCCGCAGTCCCATATTGGGGAGACGGTCGAGTACTTCTCGCAGGGCTCCCAGATGGTATACACTAAATTGACGTTGAATCCTGAGAAACGATTTATCCGGCTGCTCCCGTGAATAAGCATCATCGACGCTCCGTTCGCTTTGTCGCTCATGGTATCGGCCCGTTTACACCCATTCTATCGACTACCGTGAGATCCTATTGTAATGACGAATGACTGATGAACAATTCTCGTCTAGCTTCTACTCGAGACCGTGTCTGACGGCAAACAGAGTGAATGGAAGTTTGGATGATCTCATTTCACTGATGCAGAACGCGGTGACGAGAACCCATACCGCAAGCTCGCGCGAGACGATGACGATCGCGGTGAGATGCCTTCTTCTCCCTCCTTGGTCTTCAAGCACATTGTGAGTTGGAGGTGACGACTTTGCTCCCATTGTTCCGGAGCGGGATGCGTTCGTCGATCTCCGAATTCTGGGGGAAAGGTGTCATCGAGCTGAGTCGATTTCCGCGAGGACCTGGGAATCATGCAAGATACCGTCTGACGGCCAGAAGTATGAGCTATGAAGTATTCCGGATTCGCGGAAGACGGTATGTCGTATGTCGAAGAGCGGCATCCGGGGGTGAACTCTGAAGAAGCTGGCTGCCCTTCGATTGATCATTGGGAGGCTCGATCGAATGACGGTCAATCACAATGCCGAATCCAAGCTTGCGGACCTTCCGGAGCCGACAACGGTGGAACGGTCCGGCTGACAGTTGGTGAATCGTCGTCGATTCGGCATAATGTAGTGTTTGTGAGTCAGGCAGATCGTACGCCCGGGGAGCAAACTCTCTATTCGAGCGATTAGCATCTAGCTATCATTCGGCCAATTCGCCCGCACAATAGTTCTACGCCCAGGGCGTCGAGATGAGGTCGCCTACCTAGAGTTCCATGTCAGGTCGGACACTGCTAGAGTTCAAAGTTATTTTTTGTGAAGAAACAAGTGTCTTGTAGACGAGCCTGTTCCACACCGGGGTGAAGCGTACCATATTTATGTACATATATATATATATACATATACATTCATGCAAACTGTTGTCAGTCATCAAAGTATTGTATTTTAGCGGGAGAGCAGTAGCTTCCTTTGTATCGACCGCCGATGATTTCAACGAGGAATCGTTTCATGCTGACGATGAAATATTTAAGGAATAAGTTATTCTGTTCGAAAATATATGCTTGTGAGGAGACATTTCCCAGAATGTGTTGTCAATTTCGCCTGTTCCGAGCTTCCCCACAGCTACCCGCGCTCTGAGACGCGATCGCTCCAAGGCTAGGGGCATCTAATCGAGAGCGTCAATCGTAAGTCCTAAGAGCTTCTGGCAGAAGCGAGAGGGATCTGGCAATGTCTATCATGACTCATGACGAAACCACCCGGATTTTACTAGAAACATAAGTTTATTACTCGAATTCTCGCAATTTTATAACCGACCTAGTATCTCCAGCTTTCCATACCTCCAATCACTGGAATACAGCGAAGCATGATCGGCCGGTTGGTGAACGGTCTCTGCGTAGCTGCGAACTATTTCCGTGTCGTTTCTCTTTCGGAGCGGAATCTCTGAGGGCAACAATAAGACTCCCGTAACTCGCATCGACAGCCCTCGTGGATGTCGTTCTTGAAACTCATGTGGGAAAATGAGGGCGCCACCTCCAACGTACTTTAAATGCTCCCGGCGTAGTCGCACCCATGGATTTTTGGGACTCACGCGCAGCTGGAACGACGGCATCACTCGGCGTTGACGTCCAGAAAAACTTCGAGTGCCGTTTATACATATTACATTGTGTTATCAAAAATATGTCGGGACGAATTCCAAGAAGCCGCTAGCCTGTGTGTAATCTTCCACCCGGGGAACATGGTGAGCGACCGAGAGCGTTCACCGACTAACACGGCAGGAGAATCGACGCATGGTTCTATATAAAATTTTATAGAATCGCGAACGTTCCGGGGATAGACTGGAGAGATGCGACCTCATGAGCCGCAGTAACTGTTGCACCAGAAATGCGAATGTACTGCTATCGAATTCCTTCCTTCGAGTACGGAAAATGCTTCAGGGGTGACTGAGCGCGACGCTATAGAAAAAAATAGGTAAATTCTGAACGCATCAAGTCTCACTATTCATCTGGTATGACTCGACTCGATTTACACTCATATTTTCCTTCGTGAACCGGAGTCTCCGCGCACAGAGGTACAGATGCCCTTTACTGCCGAGCATGCATCTGGGTCTAGGGGCACCTCCTTGAAGAGCGCATAAGCGTCTTTTATGCGTCAGATGTTGAAATCAGACCGAGGTCGGGGGAATCAGACTCACACCGGGAAACGACCCTTGACAATGTTCATAGTTGAATAATTCCCCTCGGACGATTCTCTCGCGGGACCCGGCTCATCGCATTATGTACGCCGGATACGTTCACAATTTTTTCACCAGTTCTAGGAGTTGAGATTCGGGCTCCACAATCCGTTCAACGGAGGCATCTCGTCAGACTTCCTAAAAATATGATGACATTCAAAACCCAGCGCGGACAGGACAAAGTCTTCGCGAGGCTCATGCTCTCGTTCCGTCCATGCCTCCGGGCTTCCCGGGAAAACTCTACCGAACACAAGCTTTCTCACGCTTTCCAACACCTAGTACAAGAGACGAACCACCTAAAGGGGATCCGTATGGGCCATTAGGGGAAACTTGACCACGCTCGGGTCACCCCCGCCATACGAAGACTGACGTCGGTGCTTGGTTGACGTCACGCAAGTTATAACTTCATCCGAGCACAATGACTCAGTTCTGTGGTGCTGCGAGCTCGTGGAGAGAGTTCGCGCGTGAGAACTCCTGCGATAGAAACACTTGGATGAGCAAGAGCGCTCATCGATACCTCCCATCGAATAATTTTGTCCGAAAAAGCTAGAAACTCCGAGAATATGCAACTGATTTCTACCTCCTCGAATGTGAATCCTTGAAGTGCCGTTCGGAACCGAAAGCCGAGGGTCCGGCCACGTCTTGCAGTGATTGACAATTACGCGGGGAGTTCTCCGGTATGAACATCGCAACAACCAGAGCTCCGAGAACCATCAAGGCTCCGAAAAGGAAGGGCGGACCGGGGACGACCTGTAGAAGAACGACCGTTGCTCGGTAGAACTCACGATCTGGTCCCGGTTCAAGACATTTCTCCCGTTCAGGTATTCAATGAGCAATTCGTCCGTAAAAATTCCCTCCTTGAAGACTGACCTTAATGGTGGGATTCGCTGCGGATTTTTCGGGTATGGAGGCAGAAACATTGACGAAAAGCGAAGAGTTCTCAGAGAAGTCCGCAGACGTCGTACCATTCAAATTGACGTGGAACAAGTAGAATATGAAGCCGAAGACGGCAGGGCCGAGACCGGTGCACAATCCCCTCATCCCTGCAATAACAAAATCGAAACACAAGTGAGTCATTCACGGTACGAGATCAAGGTAGAGATTTATGACCATAGGTACAGTTGGTATCAAAAATTCACCTGTAATCATTCCTTGGACGAGACCTTGTTTGTGCGGATCCGCGTGGGTCGACACGAATGACGATATAGCTGGGTAGGTGATAGAGCAAATGGATGCCAAACCTCCCGCCGACCAAATCATCCTATAAGATTCGTTCGAGAATCAATTGCCAATCGCGACGCAACGTAAGCCGTGAGAGATGCATATATCTAGAATGCGGAGGAGCGCTCACCATCTTTCGGATCCGAAACCATACCATAGGAGCTGCAGCATCTCGAAAAACAGCCCCACCATGATGGTCCGTTTGTCTCCGACAACTTTCATCATAACCGCCAGAACTAATGTTTGGGCTACCACTGATAGCAAACCAACAACTGCAATGTACAAAGCAACTTCCTCCGGACTAAATCCAATCACGAGTTGCAGGTAGACGAAGAAACAGGAATATTGACCGGATTCCGGTAAATATGAGAGCAACACGGCCACACAGAGCAGCAGTATCATCTGATCCTTGCCGACCCTCCGCAAAGACTGAAAAAAATCACGGACTCCGTGAATTGAAGCGAGGTCGCGACTTGAGAAATGTCGATCGCGAGCGGGTCAGGCACCATCGGAGGCTATCTCGGTACGTACATTGAACGGATCGGCTTTTTCCCAAGACAAGGTTGTGGTCCACGAGATCTTCGCTCTCATGGCCTCCGGCATAGACTCAGGTACACAAAATAATATGAAGACGACATCGATGAGAGCGACAGCGGTCGCCAAGATCACCACGAAATTGTCTGAATAAATTCGAGATAGATAGGCTCCCAAGGCCGGCGATGACACGAGGGATGCGGCGAACGTTGCCGAAACCAGGCCATAGGCTGAGGATCTTTCCTCTTCTGTCGTAACATCAGCTACATATGCGAAGACAACGGAGAATGTAACAGCGAACATGCCAGACAAGGAGATCATCGCGAAGTACCACCTGTAGAGTATGGACAAATAGGAGACCAGTTATATTTGATATCGCCCATACTAGACGACGAAAAACTTGTCTCCTGTAATATTTGAGGCAAGCGAAATGCATCCGTCAGGGGCAAATCGGTTTTGCGCAAAATCTTCATCATATACCTTTCAAGAGACCACGAACTGCTTACCGAGGATTTATCGTCATCAGAGGGATCGGCGCGCAGGTGAAAGCAACGGTTATCAGCAGAAAAAACTTTCTGCCGAGACTGTCGCTGAGGGCACCGATCAATGGTGCGCTCAAGAATGAAAGTAGTCCTTTGATGCCGACAATGAGTCCATTCATGAGGAATGTATGGTCCCGAAAAGTTTCCTTCAGCACCTGCCAGAAGATTCGGATATATCGAGTTCATGATCTTTTCGGCGAAATCGCTCGGTGACTATTTTGTCGATTTAGAGAATCCGCTCAATGGTTCTCACATTGATCATCGGAGTAGTGAGGAGGCCCCAGGAGAAAAACTCGAGGAAAATGACAATCACGGCATGGTAGACGGAAGCTTTCCCGACCCCTGAAACCTGTAGGAAGATATATAGCGTTAATATACCCGTGCAGCCCGACGAAAACTTCACCGGACGGAATTGAGGTATTGACTGGAATTCCTCATAGGAAGGAGTTGGGCAGGCTTACGAGCCGCAAGAATATCGATCTTGACGGTTCTCATGACCGTCACGAAGGTTCTCCGGAAGACCATCCTAGGCGGACTTGACTTCGCGGCCTGGGAGACTAGGAGCTCCATGCCTCAAGTATTTGGCTGTCCCTGCTCAACACTATAATCTGATATTCGAAGCAGAAGGTGGCTCTGTTTCTCCTCGATGCGAACTTGAACCGCAACATTGCGCTCCTCGGAAACCGAGTCATTCTCTTGACCCGCAATGCTAGGAGGAAGATTGTCTCGCGATTCAGGAATAGCCTTGCCGGGAGTTGTGAGATGTCTCTTTAGAACTCTTCTGTCGAGAAAAGCGTCAAATCAATGGGTAACAACATCAAAGAGGTGCTCTTCAAAACGGAGACCCCGGTCTGTCTCTCACCGCATCACGTCCACGCTACCGAGATTGAGTGCCGAGCACACAATACATGAGTAGAGGATTTATGGCGAAACTATACAATATCGGTCGAGTTTTCTGCCATCCCACCTGCTTAATTCAGGTGCTCTGGCTAGAGGGGCTGCCTGTTCGTCGCCGACTTAAGGACGCGCTCTCCGCAAAACCGCATTGAGTAGAAAATCGGAAATGCATGTGATAGCGGTTCAACTCACCATAAAGCTCTCGTATCCTCCTTTTCGAGCCTTCATCTGATTGCTTTCACCGTCTGATACAACATCAACAATCATCCCTCAAATCATTTCTTGTCGTATTGTCTGCCGTGGACCAGCGCCACTTGCGAAGCCGACTGAATCGGATAACGGGCAGCGAGAATACTTAAACAACGAGGGGAACGGGCTTGTCGTCACCGACGAACTGCCGTCTATTGCTCTCCTTCATCTCCCTGTGACCATTTCTCTACGATTCACATTCGGAGGAGCTTCGCTCCGGACCCAGTGCGGAGCTCGAACGAGAAGCTCGAGACCAGTTTAAGCTAAGGTCAACAAAATTCAGTGTGATGCGGCCCTTGCTTCATCATCGCACGTATATCCAGTGTTGGAGCGAGACTCTCTTTTCAATATCACACCCGAGATCCAGTATTGCTATATGTGTGCTCTCTCATTCGTCCTGGCCGAGCGGCTCAAATCACGGGGACTATGAACGCGCACATTTTCCGAACATGATGTGTCAGAATCGCGTCGAATGTCATGGAGCGTTCACATATCACACTGGCTCACTGGAACGTAAATTAGACCTCGAACTCGGCCTGCTCGCGAAAACGCTCTCCGAAGGTTCTTCCCGGAAGCACGCACGGATGGAAGCGATCTCGTACAACCGATGACAGATCGCGGGACAAAACCTCGGTGTGAAAATGGAATCTGTTGTCGGGAGAGTGAATTCAATGGTGTCGGTGATCTTTGCTGGGACTTCGAGCGGGATCGGGCCGTCTTCCCGGCTTTGCGGTTCCGACTCTTCGCTCCGGAATCCGGAGAGTCGATTAGAAAACACTCTCTCAGCAGAAACTCGGAACCCATCGAGCTGAGCCATGTAATATACACAAATACTGCACCATGCCCGATTTTCATTGTCCGTGCTGGATGACGTTGAATCCAGGAGCCTTTCCTCTGAGTCTTAGGATACATCGTCTCGATAGTCATCCCGGAGAGCTCACGGCGAGCTTGAGAGCGAGCTTCGAGGCGAGACTTCGAATACAGTAGAACCTCGTTATAACGGACCCGGACATAGCGGACACCCGCTTATAGCACACTGAGGGCGCCACCCCTGATCGCAATACCTCCCATGTTAATCTGATCGGATACAACGGACACCCGCTTATAACGGACCATTTTCCACGGTCCCTTGGAGTCCGTTATAACGAGGTTCTACTGTATGTCAATGGACCCGTCTTTCTGGGGTGATCTCCACAGCAGCACCACAAGATACCGCTTCAACTAGCAACGGGGACGATTATAGCCCATTGGCTCGAACTGATTGGACTCCCTCCCGAGGAGTTCGAGGCGAGAGAATTCCCCACGCGAAGCTGCGAGGGGATCTGTATGAACGGATTCGGATTTCTTCAAACTCCCAACCAGAGCACTTTTGGGGCGTTTCCATACCAGACTTCCTCGAGAAATTCTACTCTCGGGGTGTCGATACCATATTATATGCACAAAATGTACTGGTGAGCATCATTCGGTCTCATTCATCACGGAATCGATGCGCCTGGAAGCAATCGGCGAACTTGAATCTTTGACTCTATCTCGCACAGAGTGAAACTCTCCGGGAGATCTCTTCTCATGCTCGGAAAAACGCTACTCCACAGAAGTGTTGCTGGTTCGACGGGCTGCTGGGCCGGTCCCTCTTCTGAGCCGCACAGAGAATCACGGACCACTCACCGGAGCGCTGTTTTCTCGAAACTCAAGCTCTATGCGCCCTCGTCATTCGCTCTCGTGGCGGGGGCGATCGACTGGGAAATCCACCAGAACTGGAATGATTTTCTCATGCGCGGAATGCGTTGGCAATCTCCATCTAATCTACTCGACGGGACCTCTACTCTTGGAGAGGCATCTCGGTCCTGGGAGGGAGATTCCGAGCCGATCGTGCACATCACTCATCCCCAGCTCCACGAAGAAGCAAGCGACTGCAATTTTTGAGCTTTGGCCTCGTCTCCCGAAGGCTTCTCCCGAACAGAAAGAAGAGCCACGCTCTGATCCACATCACGGCCGCCATGGCTCTCGCGGTGAACTATCCACTAGGGATGTAGAGACCCGAAATAAGACTCGTTTTTCTCTTGAAAAAAATATGTTCTGCAATTAATTTTTGGCAGAAATCAGTGCGAGAGAGCTGGTTGCT